CCCCCCCCCCCCCCCCACTTTTCAGTCATTTTCATCCGCACAATTTCACGTTGTTAAAATTTCACGTTGTGAGATTTCTGGCATTTTGAAAAGTTTGTCTCTCCTATACATTTGACTGGAATTTGTCGCTGCCGTGAAAAATGCCATATCCCGCACCCCGAATGTTCAAACATTGTGAAATTTTCGGTATAGACTAATTTGAGCATTTTCAGAGGTCCATTTTTGGCAAAGGTCTGTAGATAGTAGGATGAAAAATTGATAGAAACCAAAGTAAAACGTACAGTACTGTACACCAAAAACCCAGAATTAGCCACACAATTTTATAAACTTTAAGTTACCTGTGCAAAATGGCAGCCAAAATTCAACACTGCCCCTCTGTGGAAGGTTTGTATTGTGCAATCACATTTGTTGGGATACACACACACACACAAAACAACCTTTTTATCGAGGATTAGCAGACCCTATTAAATTCCTATCTGCTGATCTGCAGGCTGCAGCGGCAGCGCAGACTAGTAGACTACAAAATTATATGTTGTTGCCTTGTTGGTGTAGGAATTATTTTCTTACCAAAAATTTCACGTTGCTCCGAGACACAACTTTCTATCTGCTCCAATACCTTAATATTTACTACACCATCTTTGTTAAATAAAGTATATTCAATATTATTTCTAAAATTTAAAATTATTTCTTTTTCACGTGTTGCAGACATCTTGGCCGTGATTTGTTTTTCTGTGACCGGAGACTGGGTACTAATTCCTGATCAGCGGTATAATTTTGCAAGGATACTTCGTAGTAGTAAGATATTGTTAATCTCATGTTGATCTCAAATTAATCTGGATAGCGCAATGTAGAAAAATTAAGTTTGTTGATTCTTGTGTGTTATTGTGCGGGTTGTCGTCGTTGGTTGTCGCAGGGCCCCAGGTTCGATTCCTGCCAGAGGGGTCAGGCCTAAAATTTGTACAAAACTTACACTCGAAATTTGAATTTCAATCTACAAAACTCTTGAACAATTGGCTCTATAGATTGAGCAGCTCGATCTCTTCCGAAAATTAAGGCTATGTCTTAATTGTAAGAAGCGTTAAAATTAAGACATTGCCTTAATTTTAAACCTAACCCCCACCCTAACCTCTAACCCCTAATCCTACTCTAATCTTAGTTTAACCCTAATCCAATCCAAATCTGGCGACCTTTTATTTTAAATTTGGAGAATTTCAAATTTAAGCCATATCCTTAATTTTCAAAAGTTTTACAATTAAGACATAGCCTTAATTTTGAGAAGAGATCATGTTGAGATTGAGATGTCAAAAAATCCTGATATTGTGCCAAAGCGCGGAAGCCCTGGGTACGAGGTTGATATTGTGCGGGTTACCTACTTACCTATTGTCGAGTATTGACTTTCCAGCGGGGGAGCCGGCTCAGCCGGGTTATTAATAAAGCTCTTATCACGACTTTGATAAAAAAAGTAAAAAACATCCAAAATATGACATTTCAAAGTTGAATTATATAGTTTATTTTCATTCCAGTAATGGGGCTTTGGTGGCGCAATCGTCAGAGTCACGCGCCTTTCACCTCTGTCGGGGCTCTGATATCGTGGGTTCGATTCCCGTTGCGGACGTTATGAATGTGAAGAGTCAGTCAACGCTCTGCTGAAAGTCGTGGGTTTTCTACGGGTACTCCGGTTTCCTCCCACGGGGAATGTTGACAGAGTTGGTTGGGATTAGCCGGCCCCCTAAGCTGGGATTAGCCCTAAACTAACCCTTCCAACCTAGCTGTGCTCCGTGATCAGGCATGAGTCATAAAGTGGCTGCCAGGGGAGCCTCTAGAAAGCCTTCCACCTAATCACGTTGAGCTGTGTCCTTCCGCAATAGACCTTTCCCCTTTTGAGTGAAATTTTGATCTAGACAAGACTGGACAAAAATTTCAACACAGCTTGAAAGAGCATCACAAAATTAGTAATATTCCAAAGTTTCGTTGCGAAATGTTGTAAAATGCGGATAATATAGCCTTGCGAAGTTTGCCGTTTTCCACTCATTTTGCATTTATACAAACGGGAAATTGATAATCAGATGATCAAACTGATGCAAAATGAAATTTTTGTCGAGGCTTGTCTAGGTCAAATTTCACTCAAAACGGGGAAAGGTCTATTCAGCTTAACTATCGGCTGCAAGTATAAGGATGATAAGCA